ACGTATAAATATAACGGATACTGCAAGAAAAGCGAGGATCTGTCAACGAATATCGTGAAGTTGACCGCAAGACGCGCGATTCGATACATCTATGACGAACTTCGGCATGGAATTTGAAAAAGTGCACTCACCGTCAACTCAGCATTTCGTCCAGCGTCATTCGAGTGTCGCCGATGGAAACTCGTCACGCTCGAGAATATTGTCGACACGATCATACGGCCACGATATTTCACTGATCACTTTTACATCGAATGTCACATTACCAAGAAACCATACCCAACATCGCGTGAAAAAATTGAAGAGAAAAAATCGTTCGATATTATTGTTGTCACTTTACGATTACACGTTCCTCTTATCGTATTTTTAATTTAATGGAAAATTTTGTTGATCCGTGACAAGATAATTTATATAATTTAATATTTTTTTTAACAACAACGAATTCACTGATCGAGTACACTTATATCGCTGTACCATCTGCGAAACACACCTGACCAATGGCCGAACGATACTGAGCCGGTAGCACTCGCGAATCTCCCACTAGACTTCCACCACCCCCTCCCCTTACACACCACTCAAGTTGTCAAGTAAGCAACCCTTTTGAAGTTTTTTTTATAAAAAATTCTCAATTCTGTATTTGAAAATAAAATTAATTTGAAATTAATATTTATATAAATCAATAACATGTTTCTAAATCAATGAAACTATTTAACTAATTATTTAATATATTTAAACAAAAATTGAATTACAAAGAATAATAAAACGGTTCTTTCTATTTTCTATTTTTTTTTCACAAATCTATCGTTTAACAAAAAGATTAACGTTAATATTTTCAGGAAATATGCTGAAAATTAACAAAAAAAAAAAAAAAAAAAAGAAGCAAAGTGAATAACGCGTTAGGTGGAACACAAATAACAGGTTAAAGAAAATAAAAGAAGATATACTATGTACATAAAAACAAAATGCGATTTAATACACCGTGAAGAGGTTGTCTAGAAGCAAAATACGCCGTGAAAAGGTAAACTATGATAAAACGCATAAAGGAAGACAAATAAACAATATCGAATAGAATAATATCGCCAAAGAAATAATAATTACAATCATGTAGGCGAAAAATACAGATCAGACGTTACGAAATCGTGTTGAATAGAAATAACGTTTTAAAGGGAAGCGAAACTATCCTTACCTTAGTGAAATAAAACGAGGTTTAACGCACCGTGAACAATCGTGCACGAATAGAATATACCTTGAAAGTGTAAAACATGGCAAAACTCGCGTTGCCTGGTAATCACGAGACGTATAAATGCAGCAATAAGTATCAGCGTGCAATTTACTGTCCATTGAATTCGTTTAACGTGTAAACTACAGGCTGTCGCCGTTGGACCAATCTTCGAAGATGCTCTTTCCACGCGTATATAAAATATCTGTGTGCACGTGTGTACACAACTTACGTTACGTACAGGGTGATAAAAAAAGGGATGAGCCCACAGATTTTTTTTTTTATTCCCTCTTCACATTGATTCATATTCCTCTCTATACTATACTATATTTTTAATATTATTAAATAAAGCCTTCCATCTCTTCTTTCTAAGAATATTCTTTTTCCTCGTTTCACCGTCGGATCGGACCACACATTTCGCAAAAATTTTCGCTCCCCTTTTTTTCTTCGCCCACATTGTACAATTTATACATACACACGCGAACTATTTTCCACGGTATTTGTGATCTTATACTTATAATGATATACTCGATCCTTATTATTGTATCATGCTCGCTGTTTCCCCAGAGGGTGTACAGATTATGATAGTGGCACCATTATAAAATCTTCGAGATAGGCAGTTATGAGTCACGCTCACGTGGTGTAGAAGGAAGCATCGTGGTGCGCATATTATAAATGTTAATATTGCTCGTTTATTAGAAACGAGTAAAACGGTGCCTCGTGGCCAATAAAAGTGCCATTTGTGCCGTTCGTATTTCTACGATCCACGTTTTGTTTATTTCATTAAAAACGAAAGGCGAAAAGGAAAAAAAAAAAAA